TAGATAAGGGAAGGCCATTTGCTCACTTAAAACAAACTTTGCTCTGAAACTTACTACTTTGAAGATGACTGTTCATTCTTCCAAGGCTTAGATACATTGTGTTGGGCTTCCATGAGAAGTTGTGGATTAAGGAGAAAAGGAGAGAGCATTTGCTTTGTATAGGACCCCTTCTGCTACTGTAAAGTTGGCTTGGAAGAAAGCTGTGTGTTTGTGGAACTAGAACAGCAAATTTCCTAATAGTGTATTTTTAAAAATAGGGCCACTTACCACTCTGGGGCAACATGAATCCTGCTACACGGTAACAGGTACTGTTGGCTGCCTTTTTTCATGCACACAGTTTTGGAGGAACATTCTTCTAAGTTGTACAGCACTCTTCTGTCAATTTGCTGCACTGAAGTAACCTGGGTTTGCTGTGACACTGAACCTTGTGCCGCTGACGGGTCAGATGCCATAACAGCTGCCCATGGTGGACAGTGTTTGGTGAAGCTCTCAGGTTAAGACAGGTTTGGAAACATGAGTGGCATCCACTTTCTAAACTATATGCTTCTGGAAACTCTATGAACTTGGAGAAACGACTATAGTTATAGAAAGGCATTGGGTCTTTTGTTCATAGAGTCACCATGAGTCATGCTCAACTCGACAGCAATCAACACCAATGAAACTCATTACTCATTTGAAAAACAGCCTAAGAGTCAAAAGCACTATAAAAACACACTCCAGTTCAGGGTATTCTTGGCACATGCCTCATCTCAGCTGATGCTTTTCCAAGAGAAGCAGACCCATTAAATTCTGGAGGGACAACCCAGCCGTTGTTCACGTTGTAAATCAATGCTGCTCAGTTCCCAGTCTCACTCAGCAACCCTGCAGGCAGCAGCAGGGAGAAGGTAACGGATTCCTCCATCCTCGCATCCATCTGCCTCCTTCACTGAAACCCTGAGCACGCAGCTCCCTTGCTCCAGAGAGAACTGCTAGTGGAATAAACGTGGATTATTGTCCTCATAGCTGGGAACAGTTGACACGTTTGGCTTTGGTCCTAGAAATGTGCCACTGGGGGTTTTATTTTTTAATTTTTACCTGCATATTCACAAAAGAGTGAAGCATTGTCTGTAATGAAAGTGACATCTTGATGAACAAATTCTCTACAAAGAGAATTTATTGGTATATTCTCCCCATGGGGAAAAAAAAGGTATATGAAGTAGATCTACTAGGTTTCATACCTTCATGTAAAAATCATTGTAGTGTGAAATTTGAAAGAAAGACCTAATCAATCATTCATTAATCAAGTCATGTGTCATTCTTTTTTTATTTTAAATTCATTTTAATGAAAGTTTATGGAGACTGGATTTCCATTCATTCATTGTTATACTTTTCTCTCTGCCAACCCCTCCCCAATTTGCTTTTCTTTTTGAAAAGAAAAATTTATTTCATTATTATTCAGTCTCTCCCCCCAAGTCCACTCCACTATGCTACCTTCATTCTGGACTCCTGTCATGACAACAATACCTAATCATCTATCCCTTTTAAACAGTTTTCTCTCTCATCTGTTTCAATGCAGTATATGTTATTTATCCCATCTTTCTCAGTCTCCCCCCCAACCCCGATGTCAGTCCTCTTTTATAACGGTGACATGATGCCGTATCTGCCTTTTTGTAACTGAGAAACTTCACTCAGCATAATGCCCTCCAGGGTCACCCATTTTGAATAATATTGAATGAGTTCCTTGTTTTTCAATGCAGCATAGTATTCCATTGTTGTGAATATACCACAGCTTCTCTCTCTATTCGTTTGTTGATGGACACTTGGGTTGTTTCCAAACTCTTTGTTATTGTGAACAAAGCTGAAATAAGCATAGGTGTGCATGTATCTGTTTGGTTGGCAGTTGTGTTTTCTTTAGGGTACCTTCCCAGTGGTGGAATTGCTGGGTCAAATCATATTTCTATTTGCAACTTTTTGAGAAAGCGCCATACCTCCTTCCATAGTGGTTGCACATATGTCTGTCATTCGTGACCTGAAAACCAAAACCAAAACCTGCCGCTGATTCTGACTTGTGGAGACCTGCCATCAGGTGTGAGCAGCTCTAATGCCTTATGGGAGGAATAAGAGGATAAGATTACAAGGTGGCTTTTTACTAAGCATTTTCCTTGTTGCATCTCAGACACACAGTTACAATAATAGAAGGAAATGAAAGAAGATTGGTAATAAGCAAGCTAGTAAAGGCTCAAACACTTTTAGAGCATCTTAGTAGTGCGGGTGTGACTGTGCAGAGGGTTTCCCAGATAAAGTACAAAACCCACACTTGAATTTGAATGTTGATAAACAGCAAATCGGCTTTATGTGGGTCTCAGTACTTGCCTGGATGCTTGCATTTTCATTTGCTGTATGGAGCACCTCTGCCTTGACTAGTGCTTCCAAGGAAAACTGTTTACCCTGCATTATCTTGAGTTTGTCACTTCAAGTGTTTGTAAATGGCTTGATTACTTTATTTTCAAAAAAGGTGTTGGCAGATTTATGTTCCTTAAAAAGAAAAACTGTGGAAAGGCATCAAAATAAAAATTGAGGAACTTGGTAACAATTACTGAAAATATCAATAAAAGCTGTTGATTCCTTAATGTCCAAAGAAGGCCTAAAATTGAGGTTCAAAGTGCATTTTTTATAGTACTGAGCAAAGTGTGAGCTGGTGAAAAGTAACTGATAATAGTTATAGAAAACAAAATGTGTGTGTGTGTGTGTACATAGACGTGTTTCTGTGTGTTTTAAGTACCATCGAGTCAAAACCAACTCATAGCGGATCCTCTGGCCAGTTTTCAGAAGCAGTTATTTGCACAGAGGAGATTGCCCGTCCTTAACCCATGGAGCAGCTGGTGGATTTGAACATTGTGCCTGTGGAATTGAAGTGTAGTTTCTTATCACTAGGCTACTATGTGTGTATATGTGTGTGTGTGTGTGTGTGTGTGTGTGTGTGTATGCCACTATGTGTGTATGTATGTATGTGTGTGTATATATGTGTGTGTGTGTGTATCTGTGTGTGTGTATGAATATTCATGTATATTAAAAAACACATGTCTGTTTTGGAATTTAATGTATCATGGCCAGTTGAAACAACAAAATTTGGAAAATGTGCAGTGAAAAGGTTTGGAGATAGGACACACACACTCAAGCACACTTTAAAGCTCTACTGGCAAGAAGCTGTGCTATATTATTTATACAGTAATATAAAAGCACAAGATTTGAATCTACTAGCTGCTCCATTGGTCTCCTCCTGTGTGATTTACAGCTTCTGAAAACCCACTGGAGGGTCAGCTATGGGTTAGTTCTGGCTTGATGACACTGAACATATATGTGTTTATATATATACATATACATATATATGTGTATATATATATATATGTTTGTGTATATGTTTATATGTGTGTATATATGTTTATATATGTGTATATATATGCTTGTATCTATGTGTGTGTGTGTGTGTGTATTCCCAACTAAGAGATCACATTATATAGTGATTACTCAAGTTTTTCATAAATCCAAAATTAACCCAGCATTCATCTTTTTATATTTAGACTCTTGAAATTTATGAAAAGAGTAGGAGACTTAGCCTGTAGTTTCTATTTTCTGTTTCACAAGGTTTTGTTCATTATTTGAGTATCCCTTGTTTTTCATTATTTTATCAATCTGTATAGTTTCAGACAAACACATCGACCCTGAATGAAGCAGCCCTTCTCACCCACATTTCTTTCTTTTGCTCCATGGTCAACTGCTTTGAGAGTAGATGCCTTTCCTCATGACTTCAGGGTTTTAAAGCTTTGTAATTATCTGGCTATTTTCCCAGGTCTTTCTTCGTTTGCACCGCACTGAATGTCTGACAGTTGTGTTGTTGAAAGTTCTATTAAATCATTTTCTGCCCCACAATGCACCCCCTGTTCCAGATGGTTCTCATACATGTAATGCATGATCTTATATTCCGCTCAGACAGTTCTTCCCCTCATCTGTTCTATTACAGTATTTATTATCCATCTACTCTTTCCCCATTCCCTTCCCAATCCACCTTCATTGTCTGTCCTATTTTATATCAGTGATGTTATGCAGTATTCATCCTTTTGTGACTAAGATATTTCACTTAGCATAATGTCCTCAAGGTTCCCCTAAGTTGAGTAATGTTTTACTATGTCATTGTTTTATAGGGCTGTGTAGTATTCCCTTGTGTGGATGTACCATAGTTTTACTGTCCATTCATTTATTGATGGGCACTTAGGTTGCTTCCCTGGTTTGGGAGCTACTGAATCAAAGCTTTCACCAAACATGAAAAAACAAAACTGTTTCTACCAGAGGATTAATTGCACAAACTCAAGGCAATCAGTGTATTTTGACATTGCTTTTGACGAGTGGAATAAAACAAACTTTAGCCACTGCAATATGCAAAATTAAAGAAGGTACCTTTTTAACTTTGGGAAAAAATTATTATTCAGCTTCTCTCTGAAGCAGCAAGAAAGCTAAGAGCCAAGTAATTAATCCTGACACAGTGTCCATGCTTCAGTTATAACTAAGACAACAGTTGGACTACTTGCATGATGACAGTAGTTTAAAATTGACCTTAGTAAGACTCAGAAGAGAGTGGATAATACAGCAAAAAATTGATGGTCCCATAAAATCATAGTCCCATAGCAAAGAAGCTGAAGAGCTTAATGCTGACAGAGATAAGGTCTTCATAAATAACTCTTTCTGTGAAGGTGCTAGGCTTGCATGTCCAGAGTCTTAAGGGCTCAGGGCAGATGGCTTGGATTAGTGAGAGAGGCAGCAAGCATTTCAAGACCTTCTTGTACTGTCTGAGATCTGAAAAGAAGACTTACTGGGCTCTGCCCTCAGTGTTTCACAGCTCTGTGACTCCCTGGAGGGATCATGTAGTGTCAAAGCTTGAGTGAGGCTGAGAGTGAAATCCAGCCTGAACTGAGAATGTGGGAAAATGTATGAGGAAATGCTTAGAGTATATTCTCTTTCTACAGCAGGAAAAGCCTAGACTTCTCGAGCCTTTGGATTATGAAACAGTCATAGAAGAACTTGAGAAGACCTATGGGAAGGATCCTCTTCACGAGCTCCTGTTCTTCCCCAGCGACGACTTCTCAGTAAGTGTCTCACATTATCTAAGGTCAGGAGGGCTCCGGGAGTGTTAGAAGATGCCGCTAGCAGGGCTGCTGTCCTTCCTTGTCATTTTATTGGTGCTCCAGGGAGGGTTCTCACCAGGCATAGAAAGTATTCAAGGGCTTTCTACAGTTGGTTGAGTCAGAGGTTCGGTGACTTGGTGGCCACTCAGGATGCGAATGGCACAGGTCAGTGCCTGCATGCAGGTGGTACTTATGTCCTGGGCAATGCTTAAACTCTACCCAGGAAAATTTTTACCTAGGTCCCTGGATAGTGTGAGCGTTAGTGCTTGCCCACTGATGGGATGGTTGGCAATGCCAATCACCCAGCAACACATATCCCTGACTGAGGCAGAGAAACTGACTAAAGGGATTACATTTTGGAAAGACACAAGAGGAAATGAATAGTAAGTACTTGTACTGTTCTTTGCAGTCACAGTAAACATATTAAAATGTTAAGTATTTAACTCTACAGGC